TCTGGAATAATACCGTGGGTACTGTAGCCACTTATACTTGTTTATTATAAAACCTACCCCTAAACGCTAACCCTAACCCTAAAAAATTCTAAAAATGTGCACCCCAAAAATTTGTATTTTAATCTGATTTCATTTTAATCTTTCACAATTATTAGATTCAACTAAATCGAAAAGAGCGATAAAAACAAAAAAAAAAAAAAACCAAATAATTTAAATTTTAGGTTGTACAGGTTACCCCCGCCAATATCAACTAATATCAACCTAAGCCACAAAACAACTTTTTATAAATTTTTATATATCAAAAGTCCCTCATATTGTAACCGTTGATGGGAGAGCTTTTGAAATAATATGAAGAGAAGGCCAATTTAACTCCAACGATGTACGGGGAGATAATGATAAACTTAGGGAGTTGTTTATAACTGTCGGTGTTCTAGAATCCGAGTCTTAATAAACCTAATCGAAGTTACAAGTCAATTCAGTCTGTCGAATTGAGTCTCGAAAGAGTTTATTAAGGTTACAAGTCGAATTCAATAGACAAACCACAACGGAATATTCAGATAAGTATATGCTTTATTATTTAATGGTAATTGAAACTGGACAATGAACTATCATTTCGTTTATTGAATACATGGTCTTTATATACATTTTATCTTCCCACCACGTAAACATCGAAATTTCAAGGTTTACACCCAAATTTCAAGGTTTACGTGAAAATTTGAAGGTATACACCGAAAGATCTCAAGGCACAGTTTTAGTGTAACCGCGTATACGCGGATTTTTCGAGGTTTACGTGGTTCATCTGATTCTCATGCATTTAGGCCACTAAGCCATCTTCAATTTCCATAATAGTATAAATGATTAAATATTTACAAAGAAATAAGTTGATTACTGCTATGGAAATAGAATTGCCCGTACTAAAATCTTATACATATTTAGAAATAAATGAAAGAAAGAAATGTTATTATATGGAATTACTAATAATTCTATTCGTAACAATATATATCAACTTTAATATGATTTCTCGTTAATATTACTATCAATATGATTTAAAACCAATTCAAATAGGTTGATAATAACGAGGGTAACCTGTATTTAAATTTTAGGGTTTGAACAAAATGATTTTTCAAAGATATCTGTTTTACCCGCTTGGTGTTTTTTTTTTATTTTCAAAAAAGTAAATTTAAAGAATTATTCGTTATTCTTTGTTTCATAATATTTTTTTTTACAATTCAGAGTAATAGTAGATCATCAAAGTTCTCAATTATATACGAAATAACAGAAAAAAATATTGGCCTTAAAAATTTGGATGATGATTCCAGATTAATATCAAATAATATATAGCTAATAAAATAAATATGTATTGTATACTTTATAAAAAAATTCTTTAAAACAAAAAGTTTTCATATAGATTACCTAAACCATATATATTTTAACACGAAAAATAATAATAGTAATTTTCCCTAACCTAACCTAACCATCAGAAGGAAGTTTTGTTAACCATACAATATTCTAAAGATTACTGATAATTACGCCAATAACCCGGCACACGTTAAAGAGATACCTGCAAAAAATCCATATTGATGCATTTTGCGATTTCAACAGTACCGGTAACTTCCGTAGATTAAAGCATCGAGTTCAAAGTTTTGGGACGTGGGCTCCACATTATCATCATTTGAGACTTGTAAAGTATTCGAATGATAATTTAATGCTGTCATCTGAGGTAGACATAGATCAAAAAAAGATGAATCGACTGATTCTACAGGTTGTTCTGAAACAATTAATTCCGGGGTTTGTGATAATGCAAAGGAAGATACATCGTTCTCGATTAAGTTACACGAGTAATCGCCTGATATCTGAGTTGGAGAAGAAAATGAGTAGCTCGTTTCGATTGTAGGTTGGGTACTAGTTCATTTAGATTTGATTTTTTGAGAGCTATGAGAGACAATAATTTATGTCGATTTAAATAGCAAATTCCTTTTTTTATGTATCATCGCAAAGTTGTTTTTATGTAGAATTTTTATGTAAAACTATGTAAAATTTTTATGTAGCTTTACAAAACTTTATAAACCCAATGTAGAGTT